TTTGGTACTGAAATATATTATTCTACAGATGAACAGGAGTAAAAAGAAATCCGTCACATCTACTTAATGACAGGAATGCCATTCGGAACATGCACTAAACAAAAGAAATAGGAATTGAGTCATTACATGACAATTGAGATTCTTAATATTTTAAAATGGTTTACAGAAAGTCAGTAAAAATTTTGTAGTGAGTCAAATGAAAATGATTTATTTTTTAATATTTTGGTTTATATTCTCATCAGTTAGTGGGAGACACAAAAAACTACCAAATATTTGGTACAATATTTTTTTTAGTGTAAATCACCAATTATAATTTAAACGTCCACTAGAGGATGAGTACCCTTTCAGAATGTGAAGTATGAAGAGAAAATTATTTTCTCAAACAGACGTGAAATTAGGAGTGTTTACTAAAAACAATTGCTATTGACCGTGAACACACAGTTAAACATGTTTCTGAAATGTAATTGAAATGTTTCATGATCACCAAAACCTGAACATGTTTGCTGTAGTGAATGACAAAAAACGTATGCTGTCCATCTTAATCTAAAAACTTAATGAATCATAAATATATATTCACACAATTTCTAAAATTATTTTGTGAAGGTAAGCGTGTGTTACACGATTGCATTTCCCACTAAACTGTTGCATTTTGCATCTACCTTTTCGAACTTAATGACCCCGCAACTTTAGTCTACCTATCTACAACCTCACATATAATAGCTCGCACTAGTTGAAAAAATGTCGAATATGTTTTGTAGATAATTGCAACTCGTATTATGTATGAACAAATCACAGCAGATACGAGTTTGTTCTATTTAAAGATTTTTTTAAAATTTAGTGCTTAAATTTAAAAATCTGTTCTTCATTCATGTGGTAACACAGGTGGCTATGGCCCCTTTTCATTTCGTTTAAAACAAATAACGGAATTTGGTTAAATACAAGCTCAAACTTAATGAAAGTCGTTAGTGTTTTAATTATAAAGACATTGTAAAACCTATTTCTTAATAACAATCAATTGCATTTTATTATTGTAGTTTACATTTTATTCAAAAAATACGACTAATTTTAATGTTCATTTAAAATTTTTTATACAACTACATATTTTACGCTAACTACTATTTATGTTCTCGTATTCGCAGAAAGAGAAAGTTAAGTGAAGCTTCAAAGAAAGGATGTCGAGATTTTGATGGCGGGTTTGGAGGTCCCTGATACCAGAAAACTGATGTATTTTTAACGTCTGACTGTCTATATGTCTGTAGTTTCTACGTCTACGTTTTAGTACCTGAGTATGACTTGCAGTGTCCACTTTTTTCACCAGATTTCAGCATCAGTTGGCAATATCCGAAATAAGACCGTAGAACATGGCATCTTACTAGGGCGATTTATTACAAGAAAAGTAATTATGCCAGGCACGAGGGAGAATTGAATTACACGCCACATCCCGAGACGTCACATAAGTTTTTCATAAATTCAAACATTCACATCTCCATAATGACTTTGAACCCACTAATTTGAATTTTAAATTCCAAACCGCTAGCTTCGAACCAGCGAGGCCCTTCGCATTATTATACCAAAAATTCAACGCCAGAACAACGTGATATCACCACACACTGGATGTGCATCAGTTGACATTCTAATACGGACTTCCGTGACTGTGACTGGAAGTACTGGACCGTCTCCATGGCAACGGTATGCCTGTTATTGAGAGTGGCGTCCCACTCTTTCTGCCACTGCCCTGCCTATCCATCAATGCCGTGCTCATTTTGGTCCAGCATAGAATATTACTCACGTTCTTGTCTTCCGCACAATTGATTCCGCGCAGAGGGTGCGATTCTTTGACGCGTACCGCGCGAAAAGTGCAAGTGACAAGGGGCCGTGATGGAATCCGAAATGCGAGTCCACAATAGTTGTGGTGGGGGTTGGGGTGGGGATTGCAGCTGCATTCGGGAAAGCGCCATGGAGGGTAGGTTCGTGAGAGGAATGTTTCGATGGTTCAGCTGGTCAAGATTGAGGGGGGACTTGATCCAGCAATTCCGATTGACAATCGAACAGTCAGAGGCGGCCTTTGTGATGTGCATCCGTGGGAGCATCGGGAGGTGTCGGGTTCGATTACGGTTGCTCTTCGCACAATGCCATTGAAAACGCAGGAGCTAGATTGCTGGGTTGATTTTCGAATGCGATCGTATTTTTATTACGTCTGCCTTTCAATTTTCACTCGAGTTGATTTTCGGAAAATTTATAAGGTTCATGTTTTTGTAACATTGAGAAATTTGATTTCTTCTAGTAGGGTAACAAAATGGTAATAACCAAACCCGGCTCGAATTCGAACAATTGTTTGTGCTTGTAATCCGAATGTAATTCGCTTGTAAGCACTTACATATCTTTTTAGGATACTTGGGATAGTGATAAGTTTAAATATTTTTACAGCTTTGGTTACCTGACAACGTTTGGTTCACAATCTACGGTGAGTTGGGTAGTGTTTGTGTTACTCAGTATGTAATACTCACTTAATGACATTCTGTGAAACTTTATCCAGCATACTTATTGCTGCTTACTTAACGCATCAGAGCATTTCCTACAAATACTCTGCTTCGATATATATATATATATATATATATATATATATATATATATATATATATATATATATAGGATTAAAATGGGAAAGGGAATGTGTTTCGGGGGTTGAGTGACCTCGCTAGTTGCATGCACTGGTTGTGCACCAAAAAAAGAACCACCTTTTTAAAGAAGAACATTTATTACTAATATTAAATAAAATGATTGCATTGAGTGATCACCGCTAAATGTTTTGATTACCCTTAATTTTTCTCTTTACCTTTGTGATCGCAAGCTTCGTGCTTGAAATTACAATACAATCCACCAAATCTTTACGAATATGTCGCGTGCTGAACAATAAATTTGAGTAGTATCAACGCTGAGTTTGTACCCTTGTTTCTCGTTCTTGTTCATTGGTCAGAACAAACGTATTCCACTATGCTAGCACATGATTTAAAAAAACGGGAATAGGCAGAACTTGAGTTTTATTCTTTTTTGAGTAATAATATTAATGTTAATAATAACAAGATATTCTAAAAACGCAAAATATTTTGGTGAGATATTAGGGACTGCGTTCACCAAAGCAAAACAGTACTGAGTAAGGGGCAAGGCCGTATTCTCGTCCTACTATATGTCCTCGAAGATTAGAAACGGAACAACAGTTCTCTTTGCGGATGATACAAATATTCTTTGCAATAAAGAAACCGTAAATAGTACAATATCAGATATTTCAAATTGGTTACGTAATATAAAAAATTAATAGTAAAAGAAAAGAAAACTGTTTCAATGTTATTTTCCATTTCAAATAAACAGCTCTGTACTCAATTGAAAATAAACGGTGTGCCATGGACTGATGTTAAGGCAACGAAATTTTTAGGTTAATTCAGTCAAACCTTAAACGGAACGTCCATTTTAAAAAAAATTGAACACAAAATTAAGTTCTTTACGTTACGCACTCATAATTATTTCAAATTCATAGGGACGAATAATTTCTATCACAAAGACGACTCCAATACATTAATGTGCACCTAAGCTCTTGACACATTTAGTTAGATCAACACAAAAAAAACAAGAGTTTTATTGAACTCACAAGTCAAAAATTCCAAACATTCCACTCCTTTTCTTAATATTTAGACATAATGCGATTGCATGGTTTTTTAAATGATATAAAAATGTTTAATGTTCTCAAGTGTCTTGAATCTGTTGACCATTTCATAGTGCAAAATTATTGGCAAAACTGTCTGAATCGGTGTATGGGATGTAGAGATTGATTTTAGATTAGATTATAGTTATGATTAGGGTTTAAGGACGCTTTTAAGTCAAATATTATTGGACAACATGTCAATTGGTATTAAGAACCTAAATCCATTGTGTCAGTGATCAGTTAAAAGAGTATAAGAGTAAATTTTTATTAGTTACAAGAGAAAATAGTAAAAATACAGGAAATTTTGACTAATTGTAGAATGAAATAACTGACAAAGATAGTGCTACTTGAAGAAATCTGTTTATGACAGGTAAGGTAAAATTTATCCTCGTCCCTCAGACAAGATTAAAATATTTTCTTCAAGAAAGTTAAACTGCGGATAGAGGATTCATTTTTACCCAGCATCTCCTCCAGAGTGTCGGAAATGTGAGGCCTTCTCCGAATATCTCTTGACTGATTCCAGTGCACGACAGCATGCTATACAGTAAGGTCTGTTATTCATTTCTCGTAAATAGGGGGTGGGTCACTGCGCGAGAAAATGTCCTCGCGAGAAGTGGCAGTGCCCGATCCGAACGTGAATTGAGAATTTCCTACTCGCGGCTTGAGCCACGAGACGGCGAAGGCTAGGGTTATATATAGTTCTTGATACTCGTGAGTTTTAAATACAGAGTTCTGCCACTCTACCTGCCATGCACATAGAATGCAACATTGGATAAAAAACTTAGTGTCGAGCGAAGGTACTACCATATAGATGTCTATCTTGGCTTCCTACTAACCAACTTTGCTATGTGGTCAGCTGTTTTGTTTCAATTATTCCCACGCTACCAGGGTCACAGGAAGAACAAACAATTTTAAAAAAACTAAACGATGTCTGCAATGTATTTGATCTCTATGTACTGAAGAAATCTGTATGTATAAATTTACGCCATAATCTCAAAAAGGACATTTATTGTACAGCCAAGCTAAAACTCTTTGGAGCGCCAATATGAATCTGAAGACTCCAATTGACCATCAGACCAAATAACAGCAGGTTTATATTTCTAACTAGTTCATACAACTGGAGCACTACCTGTAGGGTGACATATAACTGTGTATCATACAGCAAATGTAGAAAATATTTAACAACTAAATGCACAAAGTTGGTCAATGGAATCATCTGTAACCATAACAACCTCTCCAAACATTTAAACAAAAGTCTTTGACATCAGCTAATCTAAAGCTAATTTCAGGTTTGTCCATTATGGTTTTTCAAATACCTAATAAACCTTTACTTATTTCTGGATTTTTAAGTGTATGCTGTACTGTTGGTTTATTGCTGATTTTCCCGCTGAACGTCTATAGGGCAAAACTCGACGCACCAACATGGGAAAGTTTGGATTCTAGACCTCTGCCAAAGTGGTACGACGAAGCCAAATTCGGAATATTTATACATTGGGGCGTGTACTCTGTGCCAAGTTTTATGAATGAATGGTTTTGGAAATGGATGGAAGATAATTCTACTATTCAAGCTTTATTTATGAAACGTAACTATCCAAGACGCTTCGCTTACCAAGATTTTGCACGAGACTTCTCAGCAGAATTTTATGATCCGGATGAGTGGGCTGATATTTTTAAGAATTCTGGTGCCAGATATGTTGTGCTAACGAGTAAACACCATGACGGTTACACTCTGTGGCCTTCAAAGTATTCCTTCAGCTGGAATTCAATGATAGTGGGTCCTCGCAGAGACTTAGTGGGAGAACTGGCTGGATCTATTCGCTCAAAAACGAACTTAAAATTTGGTTTGTACTATTCATTATATGAGTGGTTTAATCCTCTTTATCTGCAAGACAAGAAAAATCAATATGCTACACAGTTATATGTCACCCAACACGTAGTGCCACAATTGCATGAAATAGTAAAAGATTATAAACCTGATGTTATTTGGTCTGATGGTGATTGGGAAGCTCCCGATTCATATTGGCTTTCCAAAGAGTTTCTAGCTTGGCTCTACCATGAAAGTCCTGTTAGAGATTTTGTCGTTGTAAATGATCGATGGGGAAAACAAGTTCTTTGCAAGCATGGTGACTTTCGTACTTGCAAAGATAATTTTAAACCTGATGTTCTGCAACCCCACAAGTGGGAAAGTTGCACGACAATTGACAAATATTCATGGGGGTATAGAAGGAATGCAAAATTATCAGAAATTAAAAGTACTCATGAGTTACTGAAACATTTAGTGTCAACTGTTAGTCGTGGTGGCAACATGTTGCTTAATGTTGGTCCCACCAAAGAGGGTGTGATACCTGTCATCATGCAAGAACGTCTTCATGACATTGGATATTGGCTTCGGATTAATGGGGAAGCAATTTATTCTACAACACCGTGGATCATACAGCAAGAAATGTACAGTGACATTTTTTATACTCTTGCTCAAAAGGAACAATTTTTATATGCTATTGTGCTTGAATGGCCTAAAAAAGGCTTACTGACCTTAGCAGCACCTCAATTAAGTAGTGATTCTACAATAAACATGTTAGGTACAAATTTTACCTTGAAATGGCACAATACTAATGTTGGTATTGAAATACGCTTTCCCGATAGAGCAAAATCTCCAAATTTTGCATGGTGTCTAAAAATGAGCAATGTCAATATTAAAGTCTCAAATCAAAAGCATATTTAAGGAAACATGAGAATCCATTTAATACATTCTTACATGTAATATTTATATTTTGGAGAATACATTTTATATTGATAGAACCATTTATGAATTTCATTATTATTATTATTATTATTATTATTATTATTATTATTATTTACTTTTTATATCCTTAAGCGTGTGTGTGTGTGTGTGTGTGTATTTGGAGAGCTCGTTCATTGTGCAGTGTGAGAGTGGTTCCACTCAACTTTAAAGCCGAACTGGTAGCTCTCATCTACTCCTGGCAAATAGAAGAAACTCATGTTCCGAATTTGTCACCTTGACTTCGCAACTGCATACGGTGTTCGGCAAAGGACGGCATTTCAATGCATTCCGAATAATTTGTAATGGTTATGATAATAATATTTATGTTTTAAGCAGAGTTTCTGTGCTTAGCTTCTGTGCTCGTTGAAGTTGTGTAGAAATGACGTAGAATAAAATATTATTTTTATATTTCTGCCTATTAACGGAACATTGCTGTATTTTCTGAAGACCCGGTTTACGAGAAGCAGAATCGAAAATTCAGAGAATTTTATTACAATGGGAATTTGTACCTAAATGTTGCTGTATCTGATGATGAAATTTAATCTAATAATTTAAAGTAATTTTTGAAGAGAAGAGAGAAGAGAACAGAGTTTCTCCCCCTGCATGAACAATTATTAGTCTACTTGTTGCATTTCCCATCACTTGGACACCACAAACGTCATCACTCTGCCAGCACTTTTGAAATTTAAGGGTGTTATCAACCCATGTCTCATACACATAGATGATATCTCGGTTCTCTTCTCGAAATTGTTTCAATTGAACAATGAATCTGGATCTCCAACCCACTATGCTCGGTCTCTCTAACAGCACCCGCCGCTTTGATTGGCACCCTTTCCATTTAAAACCCATTGATTTCATAACCCGCAATACAGATTTTGGGCCCCAAGGAAATTTTAATTTGTCCTTAATAATTGGAAGAAGCTTTAGCACAGTCGGCGCTACCTTTTCTCTCATGTAGAAATCCAGAATCGTATTTCTAATGACACACCGGTCAAATCTATCTACATGGACAGAATTGCCACGTGACCAGGAAACTTCAGCTTCCGATTTGGGCTATTTTCATTATTTTCTTTCCGAATGGATTTAATGGTGGTGAGTCGAATTCCTGTGTATTCGGAGGCTCTTTTACTCGCTTTCATTAATGGTAAATTTAAATATTTATCTTCTTTCTCCTTATCACATATTTCAATCACACGGGCAATGATTTCGCGACCCTCGCTGTGTATAGTAGTATTAGTAACTCTCTTTGCCATGATGAGGAACTAATGGTTTTCACATGTTAACACTCGGGTTCTGCCACAAGCGAACTAGCCGCTCCGATGTTCTTGGAACGGTTGCGATTATGTCACGTGACATTGTGGGTGCAGCGAAAGCCATCCCCTCCTACCCTGCCGCTCGCCCCGCGCGGAAACTAGGACCCCTCTCCAGCGGTCGGAAAACTGGGACCCGGACAGTAGTTAGGGAGGGACAATGTAGGGCTTGTGAAAATATAGAGTTATTTATGTGTGAAGGGAAGACATTTTATTTATCGTAAGGTATAATTTAGGGAAGGAGTCATATGCTAGATTTAAGCAGAAGATTGTGAAAAACAAGATTTTTTTCCAAAAATAGCTTTAATTTTTTCTTTTGTCTTTTAATAGGATAATTTATAAAGTATTGCATAAGATGACATATAAAGCCATTTTGTTGTATATTTTTGTTTTTTTAACACAAAAATGTAATTTTTTGAATTGCCACTCACATCGTTAATATTTACATTAGCAGCGATATCTTCAACACATTTCATTTATAAGTTCACTTGCCTTCAAAATGTCTTATGGAGTTTCTCAAACCTCATACTCTTTCTGTAAAATAAGCTCAAATTTATGCATTTTTTAAAATGCTCAAACACCATTTTCTCAAAAATTGCACCATTTTTTAAAGATGTTTATGCAAATACTGCAAAACACACTACTTAAGTTGACATGAAATTTATTTTGCTTAATTCACTTGTTTTATCAAAAATTTCGAAAATATCATTTATTTGACAAATCTCCCTCTGCGTTAGAATGGACATGTCAAGCAATTTGTATACATTATTTCATTTGTGAGTAGAACTGCTTCAAATGAGGGTAGGTATAGTAACTCGAAATTTTAAAAGTTTTCTGTTTATAAGATCTTTAAAGTTTGCATTTAAAGTAACGCTATACGCCATTTTCCAAATACGGCCTCTAATTTTCCAAGACAAATTTGAATACCGCCGCGGTTTTACTCTTCTTTAATATTCTTGAAGTAATATTTCGGTGGTACCTTTAAGAACTCGAAAAATTGAGAAAATTAAAAACAAAAATTAGGTGGCGATATATGAAAGCTGGAAAAAGAATGGGTGAAGACCACAACGTGTACACAATCGAAGCACATTACAATACTTACTAGTTCGAGAAAGTCTTTGCCATTCTGCAGAATCACTAGATTGATTTTGGACTTCAATGTAATCTATACTTTCAAGAGAAGTTTTAATTGTTTTCTAGAATAGAACTACCTCCACATATCTGTGTTTACAACGTACAAGACATTTATTATCAAATTAAAAATATATTTCCCGTAAGGAAACTTGCACATTATCGTTATATCAATATTAAAATGGCGTCATATCGTATGCTTGCAAGGAAAATCCGTTAACTCCATTTTTAAGCGACAATCACTTTTGGTGTCACACAAATACACACTTTCTTGCTGTACAAGCTGGGAGAACCCCCATAGTGGTACCACAATTCAGTCCTCAGAAATAAAACGAAAGAAAAAAAATTCTAACTTAACATATGAAAAATATTGACAGGCAAAATCCTCTAAAAGCACATAGCGTGTTCTTCCTGAAAATATCTGTTGATATTTAAATTAAACGATGTAAGAAATACTGCTTACTCCGAATGTGAATGTATATGCAACTTATCAATAAAAATGCAGAACGTTTGTTCCTGTCTACACAAAGAGAGAATGATTATTACCGAATGGCTCGCTTAAAAGGTCTCGAGGGCAAATCGTATCAATTCAATGAATTGAAGTTAAATGATATTGTGGATTTGAATCAGTTGTCCAAAAATATTTGTAAACAATAGGCCCAGGTATATTGACGATAACATGCAGCTTGTGAAAAAATCTAGTTCTGTGAAGCAAATCCGGGCGTAATTTTCTACAGATGCAATCAAGCCCAAGAGTTTATCACTGCCTATCTGCGGTAAAGGGCACCGTACAGTAAAAAGTACTACTTTCCCCAAAATGTACCACAATCATCTTCCAATCAATGCGTTAAAGATGCGTCACTTGCTTAAATTGTGCCGCACTGGCATTACACCAGAAGAATTTCACGGTTGGTTCAATACTTGCCAACGTCGAAGTAAAGGACGCTGTTTCAGAAGCTGCTGGAAATGACAATGAAATTAAAAATCAGAGAGTGACTGAAGTTAGTGCAGTTAATGTTTGAATGTGAATGACATATAAAGTTTTCTGTCGCAACTTTCGGAACAATAACGTGGCTACTACCTAAAATTGTCTGCGTAAAACAACTGACTCCAGTTTTCACTCATGTTCAAATTGGTATGTTGTAGTAGCAAAATTATCTCGTAAAAAACATTTAGAACAATATCATTGATTTACCAATAATACATTTTTTTGGCGTGACAATAACTTTGCGACGCTGGCGCGACTTTGATTTTGCAGAGCTCTTCAAACATTCAAATTCAAGTATATTACAAGTAAAGTTTGAGGAGTTAGCGGGTTTTCCTTGTGTGCATACAATGTATAAGTATATATACAGTGCATGAGGTTTTTTCAATTGAATGCTGTTTTTTAGAATTTAGTGATAACCTGCTGCAATAGAACTCTTATTTTCTGACAGAAATCTGTTATAAATTGGGAAGTTCCAGAGAGTAACTTGTGCTTCAGAATAGCACAGACTTTCTCTCACAAGTTAGTTACTAATCGCTTCACCCTGGGCTATCTTTTGGATTTTGCCATACCCTCTTCTCAGCTGCTGATTATTGACATCTGACGACTATTTCCCTAGAAGTCATCTGTCGAACATTTAGCAAACTTGCAATTATAATAGTTTTTTTAAATTGATAAATCTGTAGTAAACTCGATATATTTAAATGTCACGGCTTATTTTTAAACAATAATATTGAAAGTAAACGAGTAAGATAATCTAAATCCTCTAAAATGAATGTTATTTTATCTCATATCATCGTTATTTCTTTAAAACGAATTGTGTGAACCATGGTCAAACTTATATATTCTTATATATTTGAATGTATTTACTTTCATGTTCATAAAAGTGTTTCATGTTATGGATTTTTATTTGGAAGTATTTCCACACATGAAGCGACGTCCGCCATTATCTACGACGTAATTTTGCTCGGCCACTTCTCCTCCCTTTAAGGCTGGCTGCGGCTGTATGTATGACACTGCAACGTTTCGTCGTGACAAGGTTCACCCAAAAGCGTGGAAAGGCTGAGCTTAGCCGCAGACGGACGGTTAGTTTATGCTGGCAGAACTGTACCAAAAATAAAATGCTCTCGTATTTCCTTTAATATGTTTTACCAGAACCAAACGTCAATAATATTTTACTAATATAGTACCTACTAGTTTAAGTATACGGTATTCATAGTACAACAGTTCTACGTTGCTCCGATATTCTACTAGTGAGCACAGACTCTACTTATCATTGCAAAAATGGGATAATAATAATAATAATATAATAATAATAATAATAATAATAATAATTAATAATAATAATTAATAATAATATATAACTAATAATCATACAATAGCCTTTAATATAATATGTCGAGCTCGGGCCATCAGCCCACTCTTACCCCGACCACATTGTCACAAGTATACAGAGTAATGATAAATATTAAAATTACAAAAATAGTAATGTTATCTTAATATTTTAAATTTAA